GATTTTACATTTTTTATTTGATTTTGGATCTTAAGACATTTTATGACGCAGCGGAAACCCTGTTTAAACACAATAGCCCTGGTAATTAGTTATTATAATAATGATGTACTTCTAACTCAGATATTATCTGTGAGAACTAGTAACAACTACTAGAAACAAGTTTAAACTCATAAAGAAGTTGATAAAAATAGGGGAATTGTGATCAACGTGACGTATGCAAATGGAAAGTACTAAGCCAACACTATAATACTAAATAGTATAATAACACTATAATAGCTGATATCTACTAGGAGAATACTGTAGGTCAAATATCATCAGCTCAGTTTAACTTTTTAAATTAATTTTATAAAGCGCCGGTGCTCAAGGACGCTTCACAAACAGCAGGAGAACAAGAAAAGCAATAACCTTAAGAAGGTACAGAAAATGGGAGACTAATAATACATAAAATAATGACAAAAGACATGAGAACAAGTAACAAGAAAGAAACTCATTCTGTCTTTTATTGAGTGCTTATGTGAATTTAGAAGAACTAGGCAGCCCACTTTGGGCTGCAAGATGGATTTAATTTAGTATTCTTATTATTAAAATATATCTGAATGAGGATTAAATGACTGAGTTGGTCTTTGTGAATGAAAACCAACCTGTTTGTTCCTGCAGATCTTCCTGTTTGACTATGAATGTTTCTTCAATCTCCACATCTTCACTCTCCTCTTTAATAACCGCCATCTTTATAACAGTGTGGAGATCAGTCGCTTCAGCAGGAGTTTTTCTCTGTGTTTGGACACTTTATCCTGTTTAAAATGAACAAAACAATTAAAATGTCCTGTTGAAAATTTTTAAAACAATGAACAGAAATAAAATAACTTCTCTTCAACACTTGCTTCAACAGTTTATTTTAATCAGAGTAATTAACAAAAATAAATCAGGTAAAATGTTTCATTAAAACACATGTTACACACTTTTCTGTTACTTTAGTCAAACAATAGCCCTCGATTACTGAGAATAAAATAGTACTACGTTGTATAAAGGGTTAAAATAATATTTCCAACAGCAGGAACATAATTTAGCATCGTATAAAAACCCTAAAACTTTAGAACTTTAACTTTAAATCGGGTTATATCTGTAAAACTTTTAAAGCAAACCTTTCTCCAGTTAAATCACCGCGCTGTAGCGGCGCCGCCTGATGACGTCACGTCACGCCAAAATAAAAGTCTTTTGTTTAGCTTTTTTGCCACTCTAGGCAGGGCAAACTTTATTTATAGAGCACAATTTTACACAACCGTGGTTGATCCAAAGTACTTTACAATAAAATAAACTACACAATAAAACTAAAAAACTAGTATTAAAAATACCAAAAAAACGTATGTTTAAAAGTAATACTAAAATACAAATAAAAAAATAACATGCATTTGTCACTCAAAGGAAAGAGAGTAAAAATAAGTCTTTAAGTTAGATTTTAAAGCATCCAATGATGTAGCAATCCCGATGTTCAGAGGGAGACTGTTCCAGAGCCATAGAGGTAAAGTTGGTTTTATAATCGCACATTCTGACTTTCCCCTTAATAATATTATTTTTTTTATAAAAGTATTATTTGCAAACTCTAAATAGTAAAATCATATTAGCAGCAAATGACTATCAAAGTACAACATTGTTCACAATCAAATAAACAGTGTCAATGTTGTTTTCAAGCCACACTTGCATGCTCATTCCAATCTAATAGTCAAAGTAACACGGTAAACAATACAGAGACTTCTAAATGAACGAATGTGTGAATATAAAACCAACTTTACCTCTATCACAGAAAGCTCTATCACCTTTTGATTTGCAGCGAGACCGAGGGACAGACAAAAACTGGTCATCTACTGGTGATCTTAACGGTCTACAAGCTAAATAAAGTCTAATAAGTTCACTTCACTGACATAGGCTGGGGCAAAATTGTGCGCAGCTTTTAATTAACAAAAAGAAATTGAGTAAAACGTTTCATTAAAACACTTATTACACACTTTTCTGTTACTTTATTCAAACAATAACCCTCGGTTACTGAGAATAAAATAGTACTACGTTGTATAAAGGGTAAAAATAATATTTCCAAAAGCAGGAACATAATTTAGCAAAAGTTTTTTTTCTTTACATTTTTTCCACTTACTGTTGCAGTCATCATGAATTATTGATACATTTCTCCCATGTTTTTATAGAAGTAAAGTTGGTTTTATATTCGCACATTCGGACTTTCCCCTTAATAACATAATTTCATAAAAAGTGTTATTTGCAAACTCTAAATAGCAAAATCATATTAGAAGAACAGGCATAAATCTGCTGTATTAGTTACTTAGTTATTAAGTATTAGGTATAATTAAGTATTAGCTACTTAAGCTAAAGCCGTTTCCCATGCATTGTTTCATTTGTGAAGACTTGGCATACTGTTAACTTTACATTAAGGACCACAATAAGCATTTTGTCTAGCGGTGTATTTGCTTAATGAACACTGTGCTACGTCCAAACTAACCCCACTGTATTTTTGTATAATCAATTTCTATTCTGTTGTTAAGTGAATCAATTAATTTAAAATTAAATTTAATTCTTTGTGATTATTTTAGTGATTATTTTAATAATAGTTTTGCATTCTTTATGTAAAGCACTTTGAATTACCATTGTGTATAAAATGTGCTACAGTATAAAGAAACTTGCCTGGCAGTTTCATGTATTGGATAAAATGTCAGAGAAAATAGACATAAGATCATGTTTCAGTGCAACTAAACCCCAAGTACAAAAAGTTCACAAATTAAGCAATTTGGCTTTAAGAATGAGTTGTTAAATTCTAATGTCACATTATCAATCACAGCAGGGTCGACCCGTGGCATAGGCAGTATAGGCAATTGCTACGGGCGCAGTACGGCCAGGGGGGCGCCAGAAATGGGAGAAGAAAAAAAAGTAACTTCCACTATACTTAAAACTAGTTGGTATGAATTCAGAAAAGAATAAGCCCACATTAATATAACTGCATAGTGCATAGCCTACTAAGTAGTAGTAGTATAATAATAATAAAACCTACTCGCCTAAGACGCCCCCCTCTGAATAATTAGACTGTACCTGCTACGGTGTTCATTTTTTTTTTTTTGAAAAAAACAGAGCCGATTTCAAATGTGATATGAATTGCAAGAGCTGTGCAAGAGAATTGTGCTTTCGCTTTATTTTGGCTTGAAAGAATGTTAATAAAAATGTCTGCATTCACTTTTTTCCTGTTAAAGCTGTGCGTCGATCGACGCAACCCCTGTATCAGTGTATGCATGCAGTCTGACTACTGGACGTGCTCTGCATGATAAACTGTTCCCAGATCCGCTTCTGTACACGCAATTTAAAGATGAGCGAAAGTTTAGCATACTTTGGGGATTTATGTGTGTTTAAACAGACACATACATTTAATAATATGTAAACATGTTTGTTCTGCTTGTATTATTTTTAAAAAAACAACATTTTTTTCTTAAATGAGCACAAACAGTTACTAAACTAATCGAATGCTTTCATTAGCCTATTGATCTGTGCATTCTTATGCCGAGTTCAGACTGCATGATTTTCAAAGTGATTGTGTCACAGATGTTTTCACACTGCTTGACTATCTGGGCTAGCGTTTCATCGCTGCTTTGTTTACACTGCAAGATTGATCGGCGACTGGGACATTCACATTGCATGACTTTACTATAGGAAGAATCGCTGACAACTTCGTCCAAACTACGTCTCACAGCCAAAAACACGTAGTATATCTTTTGTTATTAACTACATAATGAGAAAGAAGCCTTTAATGGGGTAGAGCATGTACATGTTTGCTCACCTAGGTTTAAAGGGAATTAGCAATTTCTCCTCAACGTTGATAATAAACTAATTTCTTTCTGTATGAAACGTCAAACAGACACGGTTGCTCCTGAGTCCTGTCAAACCTTCACTAGTTTTTCCTCCATTTTGTGGGTCCAAATAAACTGAAAAAGAGTGCTTTAAACTTCTCCCCCAGCCTCCCGCTGGCCTGCAGCAGGTACACACACGCACACACAAGTGAAAGCTGCTCTCTCATTGGCTGTAGGCGATGGCTGATGTTATTTTCAGTCAAAACTCAATTTACACGGCATGATTTGAATCGCCGACAGCTCCAGATATTTAGCATGCCAAATATCTCGCAGGCATCGGCGACTCATTGGCGATTCTCTCAGATCGCGTCTTTGATAGTTCATACTGTGTGATTGTCACTCACGTGCACGAGCGGCGATTTGCCTGTGATTTCAGGCATTTGTCGGCGATTTCTCAAAACCTGTCGGCGAGCCAAAATCGGGGCTAAAATCACGCAGTCTGAACTCGGCATTACAGTGACACCTCTGTTATCAAAAAACAAAATAAGAGATTGCTGCTCTTCACTAAATAACTGTAGTAATGCTAATCAATATTTAAATACAGTAAAAAGTGAATGGGATTTTATAACTTTATTTATTTTCTGTATAGGCCATTGGTTTTATTAGGCAAAATATTTTGTGTTATTGTTAATATTTTCTAATGTTTGCTATGTCTTCTTTTTAAAGCTAATTGTTGTCCCATATTTTTACATCCCGGTGTTGAGAGGTATGGCATAACATGGTTTGCTAATCAATAAATAGCAACCTCTTTGGTTGCTATTTTAAGACTGGCTGTCTTTTTTTAGTCTCTTTGTGCAAAAACGTCTTGCCCTGTTTTCAGCATTGGTATTGTGGCTTAGTTGGTCAAAGCGCCTGTCTAGTAAACAGGAGATCCTGGGTTCAAATCCCAGCAGTGCCTAATGTACAGTTTCCAGAGTTGCTTCTTCTCAAGATTTACAAGTGTTTACGCAGCAAGCTGTTTAGCAGTGTGGTACTTAACAAAACTCAAATCCTTCAGAACGCTGCTCGTTCAAGAGGGCTTTGGACAATGTCTTTATAAAGCATGGTGTGGTAATGCATAACCGATTAGACTTTAATATTTCAAGTCCAGACATTCACACATGCAGCGCTACCGCTGTAAGTTGTTTTTTTCTTTTTTTGATTAAACAATTAGCTCCCGTCTGACGCTGTGGCTTAGTTGGTCAAAGTGTTTCTCTAGTAAACAGAAGATTCTGGGTTTGAACCCCAGCAGTGCCTAGTCTGTAGTGAGATTGGCTTTTATAGGCCAGAGAGTACCAAAAAGTGCTTTCTGTGGAACAGTGCTGGAGCACGCAAGCTCTCCAGTGCAATCAATAGCGTCGGACTTCTAGGCTGTGAGCTGAGTCATGCAAAGGTTGTGGGTTCGAGTCCCACCAGAGTCGCAAGTTTTGCCCCTTTTCTTCACTTGACTTAGGTGTGAAGAGTTTCCATCATTTTACGCATCTGTACATCCAGTTTTGCTTCTTTCCTTCATTGCGCAGTGCAGGCTTAGATACTAGGAGTACTCTACAATGAAGCTGATGACTTACAGTTTTTTCTTAGTTGTTTACACACAATTACTTGTACTACAGACACAATTTCTACAACATGTAACTGATGCACCAACCCCCTGAACCAATTCTGCTAAACTACAAGCACAATTCCTGCTTTACACTCAAATTGCAGGTTTACAACACACTTTTTTCAAAACACTACACACAATTTTTTGCATATTACACAATTTTCATGCAAAAAAATCTTTTGTTTTCACAAGGAACACACTGACAGTCTGTTTCTTAACAAAACTCAAATCCTTTAGAACGCTGCTCGTTGAAGAGGGCTTTGGACAATGGCTTTATATCGCATGGTGGGGTAATGTGTAACCAATTGGACTTTAATATTTCAAGTCCAGACATTCACACGTGCAGCGCTACTGTTGTAAGACAGTGGCAAAACAAATTGTCCTTGTCTGTCGTTGTGGCTTAGTTGGTCAAAGTGCCTGTCTAGTAAACCGGAGATCCTGGGTTTGAATCCCAGCAGTGACTTGATTGCAGTGAGCTGTTCTTTTATGGGTCAGAGAGTACTCAGGCTTTGTGGCGCAATGGATAGTGCAGTGGACTTCTAGGCTGTGAGCTGAGTCATTCAAAGGTTGTGGGTTCGAGTCCCACCAGAGTCGCAAGTATTATCCATTTTCTTCACTGACTTAGGAGTGGTGCGTTTCCATCATTATAGGCATCTGTTCATCCAGTTTTGCTTTTTTTCTTTCATTGCGC